ATTTATAGAATCTAGTAATTATTAATGCATAATATGTTTGCAGAATTATTTTTAATATAAAATTATATCATTGTAAAAATTATTATTCTTAAACCTATCTTATTTATTTAAATTAGAGTTTGAATCAATCTAGATTATTTAATTAATTTGATTTGATATTTCTTTTTTTAAATAAATCAGATCAGGTAACCTAATCTAATTTGAAAATTTCATATTATGTCAGTAGAATTATTCTTATTAAATAATAATGAATTATTTAAATGAATAATAAAAAATTATTTAAATTAAAAAATAATAAATTATTTTAATTGAATGATAAAAATTGTTTAAATTAAATAATAACAAATTGTTTAATTAAATAATAATAAATTGTTTAATGAATAATAAGAAATCATTTTATTGTTTTAAAATTACAATACATTAATTTCTTATTAATAAAAATATTTGATAAAATTAGAATGTACTAAGTATTATTTTATGTAATTTGTGACAACATATTAATTTTTATAAAATATGAAGGCTATTTATATAATTGAATTAATAATAATAAAATAAATGGAAAAATGGTAGAATAGGTTTACATTTTGATAAAGTTTTTACAAAGTAAAATGATTCTATTTCTAAATTTCTTTGCATAATTTAGCTGAATTCTTAAAAAGCAAATGAGATGCAATATTCTATTTTATTTTGTTTTATTTGTAAGACAGTATGAAATACCATTCATGATTATTTTCATGATAATTAAATAAGATACTGAAATATTGTAATTAAATGTCTTATCTTTTCTATAAGTATATTATTTAGTTCAAAAATTTTAATGATAAACTGCTTTGATTATTAATAAAAGATTAACTATATAACTAAAACTATATTTATTATTATATATCATTTAATTTTAATATTATTTTTGTATTAAAAAGTTATTAAAATATAAATCTTCTAAAAGTCGAATATAACAAATTATGATCTTAAACCACTTACTATATAATTATATGATGAAATTATTGAAGATCTATCCAAATTTGGGTGACCCTGGCTATCGTTTTTTTCCGAGTCCTGATATTATAAGTTCAACAACATAAATAACCACCATTTCAAACTCGTCTTTCGAAAAATTTCTAACCGACTTTTCTTTTTATATACCAAATCACATAAATATGGTAATATTTAAGTGATCAAGATTTTTTTATTTGTTGCTTTCTATCACCCCTTTCATTTATTTACAAGTTCGATTAAAATAATATTAGACAAGCCCTGACGAAAATTTCACTTCGCTATCAAAATTAAACAACCATATTGCCTCTTTCACAGCAAATCTAGAAAATGGTGATTTATTAAATGTATTATTACCTTTCTTTACTAATCTTTTTTTAAAATATTTAAATGAGAGATTTGTTTATTTATCAGTTTCTTTTTTGAATTAACATAGTCCACTCAAGGTATCACACAACATCAAGCGACTGCTGCTTATAAATTATTACAAAACGTAAGTTTACTTTTAGAAAAACAACAAGAACCAAATTGTTCAAAAAACAATTCTTTCAATGGAACTGGTGAAGAAAAAGAAAAAGAAAAAGAGAAAAAACAAAAGGATGAGGAATCATTTGACATATTAAATAAAGTCACAGGTAAGTTATACGAATTTATTTTCCTTTTAATCTTTATAAATATTGAAAATTTTTCTAAATGAATTTTTCCTTCTAAAAAGTTTCTTTCCAAGATTGCAATTATGCATTCACAGTATCAGATGATAAAA